GAGTATACTGTATATCACGAGTATAGTGTTTTTTGTTTCTTCATCCTCTCCTGTATTGAGCTGCAGTAATGTGCAAATTTACCCACTGTGGGATCAATAAAGTTTTATCTTAAAATACATTAAAACAAAATAGTAAACTTTAGATTCTTGGATAGAAAAAAAAGCATTTTCGCTTTTCTTGAAGGTGAGAGTAGTAAGGAGATGCTGTACATTTTAATAGATTTCACTAACTTGTCATCTAAAGTTTCCAACAAGAACATAAATCTTTCCAAATTTCTTGTTTTTATTTTGCTGTTGTGTCAATATAATGATCATAAAGTGTCTCGTGATTTTACATTTGCGGCAAGCAGTTTAAAACCTGTCTTAAGGTTTGAGGAAAGACCGGACAACAAGTGGACAGGCTCTGAAGACAAGAAACAAAAACACAGAAAAACAAAAGGAGGGAAAAATGTGTCCATGAGTATTGACAACCTCAGTGTTACAGTTCAATCCATTATAAAACAAAATGATTCCTTCACTTTGGTCAGACTTCACCTCTGATCCAGATAAATGTGCTACCGAGACGGTCTCAGTCTCTGTCCTCGTCTCGGTCTGAAATAYCCCATCGACAGATTATAAACCGTCCCTCGTGTTCAGTCAACAGTCGCTGATGGACTCGATAAAAGAGCGAGTTATGGGCCAGATTCAGTGTCCATGTCATCAGTGTCGTCGCCCTCCGAGCGGCAGATTTCCTCCAAGGCCAGCTCTGATGAACAAAGAAACAATCCAGGTAAGATGACAGGGTTCCTACAGTTTAAGGAAAGTTAAATTTAAGACTTTTTAAGGCTTTTTAATGCCAAGTGAAATTAAGTTTAAGACCAATTTCATAATAAAGCCAAATGAAAAATAAATAAATAAATATAAAAACTGGCAAAAACTCATGAATCAAAGTATTTTTGGTTAAAGTTTTCAAATATTTCTAATAGACCAATTGTTTTCCATATCTAACGATAGCAGAAATGTTCTTGGTCAGTTTTAAACATAATTTAATTTCAGGAAATCCTCTAACAACCCACAATTTGGAGTTTTAAGACCCATGGTGGGGTCTTAACCACAATTTGCTGTAGATGAAACCTTAAAGTGCCTGTGACATCAACTTTTTGTAAGAAATATGAACGCACTTTTAGAAAGTCAAAATTATAAACATATTACAAAACAAATTTCACAATGCTCAGATGGACAGTTGTTGAGATATTTGCATGTAAAAAACAGGAAGTGATGTCAATGGGGAATATCTGCATGTGAATATTTAAAAAAATAAATGTTACCAATTATTTTAATATTTGAGATGAATTACATTCATCCTATGTACAATGTGTTCACATTTTTAAGACTTCTGAAAGATTGATTTAAGACATTTTAAGGTTAATTATGGCCTTAATTTTGGACTGATGAATTCAACGACCTTGAAGACTTTAAGGATCTGCAGGAACCCTGTATGAAGTGGAAATCCAATCTCTGTGGACCTACAGGCCTATGACAGGTTTTACGTTAACGTATGTGTTTCGTGTTCTTGTGCGTGCACCTTCGCTCTCGCTCGGCTCGGGGATCTTCCTCAGCGTTTCCCGTACAGCGGGGATCATCTGGTCGTACATGTGCAGGAGCGGCCTGCAGCTTTCTGAAAAGCTGCCGTGATGCAGCAGCAGCCAGTGCAGCAGCAGCAGACACTCTCTGAGCAGAGACGCAGCCTGGCTGCTCCACCACGGTGAGACTAGACCTAAACGCAAATTTGTGCCACAGTAGAAATAAAAATACAAGCCATGATGTTGTTTTACTGGAACCGAAGCTGAAACTCACCCGCTGACTCTGTTGGCTCCTGAGAACCACGAAGATCCAACCACTGAYGATGCAACATGATCACAGCTGTCTGAACCACCTGCGAAAGAGACGGAACCATTTACTGTGAAGTGATAAAAAAAAGGTTTCTCTTCGTGAGACGGGGCGCAGGGAGAAGTAGCTTTACCTCAGTGTAACACTGACAGGTGTTCTGCTCAGTGTTCATCCAGCTGTCTGTGCTCTGACTCAGGCTGTTCAACAAACGCACCACCTGAGGTGGGAAAAGGATGGAAAACATGACCTGCAGGACCCACCTTTAAATGTGGTGCAATCAACACACGTTCTCAGCAATATTTGTGATCAAAAAAGGGAAGAAAAAGCATATTAATCTGAAAAAAAAAGTTTTACATTTTTTTATTAGGTTTGATCATTTGAGTTAGATGCATCATTCATGCTTGTGC